CCCCAAAACCCCAAAACCCCAAAACCCCGTAATCCGCAAATTAGGCATTTTTAGCATTAAATTATTGATTATTATTAGATTAATTATATAATTAACTATGATGGATCAAATAGAAATGATTGAGGACATGGAACTTAACATTCAAACTACTGAAGGCACAGACCTTAATTACTCTTTTGCATAAGACGATCTCCCTTCATTTATCAAGACAAGAGAGAGAATGCGAACAATTAAAGATTTAATCCATTAAAGTAAGTTCTTGCTATGATAAGAGAACCTAAAATTGAATTAAAATGATGCAATACTTATATTAATTATAATAAACAAGAACTAAGAGCCATAATAATTTATTTAGGAGGAGAAAAATACAAAGAATTCGAGAATTAGATTGACCCTGAAAGACATAATCTTGAAAAGTAATTCGAGTAGGTCTAAGAAAAAATCAATTTGATAAAGGTTAAAGGTAAGTAATGCAATCACTTTTATATTGGTTTAAAACTAAAACCTTCATTTTAGACGGGATGTATGCGCCATATGATGACGAGGATCCAATTTTTGATTTAGAACATGAGATAAGTAAAGAGGAACAGGAAAAGTTTGCTGCTGAGTGCCCAATATGTAAGAAATAACATGCTAAAATGAAGAATTGGTATCAATAAAATAAATTTATTCATTTATTGATTAGTCAATTCTGTGGATCTCTGAATTGTCCTTAATGTGTTAGTAAATCAAGGCCTTACCCTGTGAAAAATCCAGCAAAAGATAAGAGAGGATAGATATGTCTTATTTGTAACAAGAAGTTCTTGTATAGAGATGTATGCTCTGAACTAAGAATTAAATATATAGGCAATGCATGAATTTGCTGTGTAATTGGATATGAAGGAAGGAGTTAATCAGAATTAATTAGAGGAATTACAATTTGAGGAGGAAACATATAATGAATTAATGACTCTATTAACTGGCTTAAGAGAAATGAAAAACAATAATGTGATGGATATCAAAATTTAAGCTGATGATACAATCAATGAGGAGAAATAATTAAACTAGGACATTGAGGCGCTAAAATAACTCAAAGAAATATTAGTTTAGAAGTCATAGTAACTGGAATAATCTCTAGAACAAAAGAGAAATTTGGTTGATGATCATTAGGAAGATATAAGGAAAATGTAAAATTTATTCATACTTATCTGCATATAGTGATAAAAGATTGGAATACTTATTTAGTAAAATGAAGAAACTAGAGAATGAGGTTTAATTTTGCTAGAAAAAATACGATGATATAACATATTTTAATCAGAGAAGGTTAAGTGTAAAAATAATATAGAATATTAATATCCTCTAGTTAAAATCTGATGGGGCATATCAAATAGAAGATTTAAGATAAGGAAATAGCGAAGTAGCTTCTTCTCGTCAAGAATCAATTATAAGCTAGGATGAAAGTGCTTAAGAGTAAAGATAATACATTTAAAAGTATGGGATAAATGGTTCAGAGATATAAGATTAAGATTATGATCCCTACTAAGAGGTGAAAGATAAAGCTCTTTATTAGGAGCAAACAATCAGCCCAGCAAATAAGAAGTAGTCAATAAAAGAGTCGATTTAAGGACCAAAATAGTCAATTAAAAGGAAACCATAGCCAATTTTAGAGGATGAATAATTCTAATTCTACAACCAATAATAAGAAACTTAGGCAAAAGAGACTATGTAAAGAGCTAATAGAAGATCTTCTCATATAGATGATGGAAATGAATTTAATTTTGGTATAGGTGCATTTTCTAAAAAAATAGACAGAACACAGAAGAAATCATAAATACTAATGGATGAGGAACTCGAATATCACCGACATGGTGGTAGTTAATAAGTTAAAAAACAAAGTATCAAAAAGCAAAATCCTCCTGGCAATAATGAGACTGTAGATGATCCTCAGAGATATGGAGGAGTACCAACTGGAAGTGGCTTAGTTAAATCTAGCATGCATGCTAAGATGAAGGGTAAAAAGTATCAGTCTGCAGCCAAAGAAGGTTCATGTTAAAGTTGCGAATAGGTCTGTGCCATTTATTGATCAAATTTCCTCTCATTACTTATTAATATACTATTTTAATTTTCAACCTAATTTAAAGTTAGTCATTATTTACATTTTAAATGAGGGGTTTTGGGGTTTTGGGGTTTTGGGG